GGGGGTGCATGTGTGTTGGGGGATGGGACAGACAGGGACCACTTCAGTGAAAGACTGGAAAAATTCTTCTAAGTTATCTTTGTTCAGAGCAGGCCCCAAAGCCCCAGCACTGTTCTACTTTGTTTATGCACGTATTCAATCCATTTCAATGTTTCATATATGTACACTACATAAATGCACTTGTTCTCATTTCCAGTACTATATCTTTTATGTTCCGTCTGAGAACTTTTAGCATTCCCAGAGATGACAGGAACTAGGACCTTAAAATGAGTGGATTTTGCTTTAACCAGAAGGATTCATCTCACCTTCTCAAAGTAAGGCCCACTATCTGTGGTTCCCATATCTTTGGAATTGGGTGGACGAAACCCAGATCGATCCTTTCTCATTATATCGTTAAAATCCCCAAGATTCATGGCTCGTTTGTCCACCTCAAACTTCTTATCTGGGAGACCACCTGCAAAAGAACGAGAAGGTAAAACATCACTGCCTATGACCACAATCAGATCTATTTATTTCAACAGATTCATAATGGCAAGACAACACTCAGGAGTTCTGAAGAACAGAAGTCATGGATTTTTCTTACAATTTAGCATAACCTCAGATACTACTAAAGCTGACGAAGCAAGTCAAGCAATATGTTTAATTTCAAAGATTAACAAGGCAATTGTGCTTTGTAAGCATTAATAAATAATATATTTTCGTGTTAGAAATTCTAATTGTGTGTGCAGAAACATCTACATAAAATTTCTTGCTTCAACAGCCTGACTGGGGCAATGACACTTGCTTATATTTACTCCCTTGTGTTCCACTTGGAACCCACTGCAAGTGCACTATGTTTCTAGGTATCTCTGGCAAGGAGTGCTTCTTGGATTTTTTACACATGGCACTTAAAAGTCTGCACAGGGTATGATGGAAAGAAAGGACAACAAGCCACCACACATTCTAAACTGTAAACATATACATCTACAACTCATACTATCTCCTGTAATTTTGAGGAACTACACCAAATGTGTCCCTATATTTGCACACGAATTCCCTTTTCAGGGCAAATGAGCAGTTCCTCTCATAACCAAGAATAACCAAAAACTTATAATAGCAGACATGCTGTTCCCCACATATCCTTTACCAGCATGTGATGTGGTTCTCTGATGTATTTAGTAAAACTGTAAAGGAAGGAGGCTGAAATGTAAAGAAAGCTGTAACACTGCAAGTCCTATGCAATGGCAAGGAACAAGACAATAACATCCTCTTTTACAATCACTGTATTGTTCTAATTGTTAGTCTCCCTATTTTTCCTCCAAATTAACCATAAAAAAGGAAGCACACTCTACTTGTATACCATCTATAGCTGGGCCTTTTACATTTGTATTTGTTTTATTTTGTAAAAACACTGATTCAGTTGTTTTTTCAGTATGTTTAGTTCATTGAATTCTTTGAATGATTTCTTTGGTTGTTTTGTTTTTCTGTGGGATTTTGCAGGGGCAACAGCAGTCAAGTCTATTTGTAGCTATCAAATTATATTCAAAGTGCAAAGCCACTTGTCTTAAAATTGAACCTGAAAATGTGAAATCAACTTACAATACGAAAAATACAGGGTGACCAAACCCTGACTAAAGGAAGTTATTTCAAAATTGCCTCCCTTCAACCATCTGCAGAAAGCAGCACTTGTCCCATTTAAAAAGAATAAATCTGATGAATCTCTTATATTCCAGAGGCATTCACCACAAAAATGGTATCATACTTAAATGCTTCATCATAATTGGGCGTAGTAGGTCAGACTGAGGTTCTAAAATCATTACAGGCCTGGATCCATGCTCTTCTTTGCCAGAGGACCTGTAGTTCACAAAGGGTTAATGCCTCATTCAACTAACCATTTCTGAAACATGATACAGTCTAACCTGGTCTCAAAAAACTATTCACTGACAGCTTAATTTACTATAGTTGAGTGATCAACCTCTTGTTCATAGGCAAAAGTGTTGAGAAGGAAGTAGTAACCTTGCTTAAATCTGTTGTTCTCTGCTGACATCTCAGATGCATGCCAGGCTGACTGGGGAGATTGTTTCAGTCTACTTTCTTATGGCAGGGATAGAGGTGAAACATCAGGTGGATCTTGCACTTCTCCTCAGATGCCTTCAAAACCATTCCTCATAAGGTACTAAACAACCTAACTATGCATCCTGGAAGAAACTGCTGAAATCAAGATGACCTGGCTAGGTTCACTTTTTTCTAACAGATCCCAAAAAGTGATGCTCAGCAGCTGCTCCTCTGCCCCAAGAGCTATAGTACAAAATTCTGCAAGACAATCTTGCCACCCCTTCTCTTCCACATTTAAACTTGAATCACTTCATGTCAGAAACTACAGCGTTCCCAACACAACTTATGAAAGTTCTCTGCTTTTGCTCATCACAGATAGTCCTATCCCTTCAGCTGTCTATGAGAAAGTTTGTCCAGACCAAATGTTGCCATTATTTCACGCTTAATCGAAAAATTGCGCTCACTGACCATATGACTGTCCAGAATTAGCAGTCATCAATAATACATTTTCTATATTTATCCAGATAACTGAAAAGGCTCCCCCACTCGAACAATGACCAGGCTAAAAGTAGACCATGTATTTTTTTTTAGTTCCAGTCTGGAATATTGTAGTTTTAGCTGAAATGAAATAAGAAATTCATGCTGCAGTTGTCAGTGGTATCTTACACGATGAACTGACAAAAGATTGAGACAAGCAAAGCAGGCTTCCCCATTCAGTATATCACTCCTGTCTCAGTATCAGAGACAGATTACTCACTTTGCAGTTACTGTAGTTCTTAAATATGTTTTTTTCTATCCATCTCTAGGTGCATGTATGCTCTCATAGACATGGGGCAAACTCTTGGGTAATACCATCCATTTGGTCCTTGAATGTGGCTAACATGTTCTCAAGCCCCTCTCATAAAGACAGGGTGCCCTCAAACTAATCACTTCATTCCTTCACCAATATAAAATCCCTCAAGGCTAAATAATTTCACACAGCAGAGCGCAGGTTATTAGGTCGACAAAGACACAGTACCTTGAAGCAGCAGAAATATTTTACAGTAAGTAACTGTTCACTCATTCTTTGGATAATTTGCCCATCAATCCTACCCCAAGTGTCTGCAAAAAGGCTGACTAAGGTGTTAGGTGAAAGCAGTCCTCTTTAAATAAGGACTCAAAGATTGAACCAATAAATTATGTACCAAATCTATAGGCTGATAATGAAGACTGGCTTGTCAAGGTATATATGGAGCTCCCAGCAGCAGCTTTACAGATTTAAAGTGGCAGAGCTGCTTCTCAAAATGGTTGAGTAATCTACCTAATCTCTAGCAGAATGCACTTGGATACAAAATGATGGTCATCCCATATTGAGCTCACAAGAAATTTTTGATGCAACCTGAAACTTAATTTTGAGGAGTCAACCTTTGTTGAAGCATCTTATCCTCTGGATTAACAAGATGCTACTAGCTTTCACGATTTGCAGAATGGTTTTGTCCTATTGAAATTATATAGGAAAAGTCCAAAGGGTAAAGAGTTTGGCTTCAGCAGATGATGAATCAGGTCTCAAAACTCTTACATGTAGGGACCTACTTAATTCAAGGTCCGACAAAAGAATTGTCATGGGTCGGAAGCAGCATGAAGAGCCAATTTTGTGAGCGTTTCCCAGTGGCTCTGGCCCTCGCCACTGGGGGGGCAGCCACCCATCTTAGCTGCTGGCTGGCCTGTGTCACCCTGCCAGCTAGTGCTTTCCCCTCCTGGGAGGGCTGCAAGACGGCAAGAACCGCTGGCTTATTTTCATTATGTTTTCTTTTTTAAGTTGATCTCTTGGACAACTGTGGATTTCATGGGTTCAGCAAAATCCGTGAAATCACAAATTAAGTAGGTCTCTACTTAATATGTGAATAAATTAAGAGAAAAATCCAAGTCTACCTTATAAAGAGATTTAGGAGGAGGTGAAAAGAATAACTGCCTTTACGACACTGAACTGCATGGCCTTCTGAACGGCTTCAAGAACCCAGCAGCATGTAGAAATTGCAGTTCATATGCTGAAAGAAAGGGAATTACCCGAAAGAGAGGAGAATATACAGAACTGAAAGACTTGGTCTGTAACTCTTGACATTAAACATTAAACTTGCTGCTTCATTCCCATGTAAGAGATTACAGTAGAAAAGCAGCAGAACCCTTTTCTTCTGATGGGAGAGAGGTTAGAAGGTGTGTTAGATGCATAAACGACCCAAATGAACTTGTAAAAAACCTCATGTGTGTATAGTGCATGTGTAATTAGAATAGGAGTCACATAGACAATATGCTAGCAAGTGACATATTAAAACAGAGGCCTATATCTGGTTCTGGATAGAAAATATCAAATGTCTTCCATTGGGTCTCAAGAGCAGGTCCATATACAGAGCTTCACATCTCTTCAAAGCATCTCACAATTTCCTATGTACTGTTTTTCCTGGATTTGCTCTCAATGCCAGATCAAGAACAGTGGAAATGACCACACCTCATTTTCCTGAATCAAACCTTGGTAAGGGAAAGCACACCAGAAAGCCTGCATGGAGCTGCAGGGTTTCAGGTTGACAATAATACAGGTAAGTTAACGTTTCCACTACTATATACAATACAGGGCAACTTACAGGTCTAATGGGTAATCTCACTAACTCTCCAGGCTGAAGTTATTATAATAAATGACACCTTAACAGAGACATGGAACAGAAGAGCAGTTTAACCAACACTTAAACCAAGACATCATAAATATCATGGAAACAAGAGTACAAATCTCACAGCAGAAGAATTCCACACATGAAAACTTTGTCTAGGACAAATAAATAAACCTGTTCTGTTGGAGCACCCACGACACAGCCTATCTTACACCTATCTATTGCAATGAAGAGTCCCGTCTCCTTTCTTGCAACTACTGCAGCAAAACAAATCTTTCAAGCAGCCTTTAGTGGCACACAGAACAAACCTTTCAGAAACTTTGTTGCTGCAGACTGCATAGGATAAAAAGCTGTGATGGCAGCCAAACACAACCTGACAATACAAAAGAAGGGTAACAGATAGTTGCAGTTTAAAGAAAAGGCCCATTCCCATCTGAAAAGCTTGAAAAGGAAATTCCTTCCAATTAATTGGAACAAGACAATCTATAATCAAAGCCACCTGGCTCTCCAATAGGTTCTTCTGAACTTCTCCTGAGCACCTGCTGCTGAATACCTAAGCTGTCCAGAAGTCAAGTGGGTGATCTGAGAAACTTCTGACCAGGGTAGAAACATAAATTCTATGTTGACAGATCAAGTAGTCTAAAGAACAGAAATAGCAGAGG